CCTATATATATATATATATATATATATATATATAGGGTGTGGTTTATATAAAGCCTAGGGTCTAAACAATCAAATTAGAGCCTACGTTCAAATAGTGTCTAGACATGTGGTTTCAATTTTGAAAATTGTTGTGATAGTTTTAAAATATTTTCCCATCTTTATTTATAAAGTTTAAAGCTTCAAAAATAGAGTAGATCAAAAGGTCTATGAAAACTTGAAAGTCTTGAAAATTGACCGTCCAAAAATTTGTTATAAAATACATTATTTTCAAACTTGAAATCTGTTTTTTTTCTCATGTCAAGATAACCAATTTGAGTATCAAAACAACCTCTTCCAGTGAAATATTTGTGGTAAGCTCTAATTTGATTATTTAGAGCCCCGACGTATATAAACATTTTCCATATATATATATACACTTGCGTAACATACCCCAAGCCATTTAATTAGGTATTAATTATGAGGAGTGATTGGCTGATTGTGAACTCCTTGAAACAAGGAAAAATAGTCTCAGAATATACTTTTTTAAATAGAAAAGCCATAATTGGTCCAATGTGCGACATGAAGACCATGTTAGGCCCGCCCTGTTTATTTACACCCCGCGGGGCTATATTGCCAAGATGCCTATGTTTGAGTGAGAGAGATAGAGAGAATGTGTGTTTGTGGCCAACATACCTTTGCTTCCACATTGAGAGAGAGGACAGATAGAGATGTGAGGGATGGGTGAAGTGAGAAAAAATTATTTGTGTGGGTAGGCTTGTGTTGTTCAGTGAGAGGACGGTTTATGTGGGTGAGATTTGAATGTGTAGTGAGTGGGTGACATGTACTTATAGTGAGAGAAAGTTGATATTGTGTAGTGAGATAAAGTTGAGTAGGTGGAGAAGATAATGAGATCTGAATTTTAGTAAAAGAGAGTAGAGCCCTACATGAACAAAAGTGACGCCACAACAAAGCCAAAAGTGGAAGAGAGGGAATGAGACATCCATTTGAATGCCTTTTGGTCTCCCCTATTGAGAGAGAATAGGGGAGCGGTTAATGGTTTTTTATGAGAAAACCATACTTGTATTTAGTATAAGGATGTCACAATCAAACTTGATCATTGGATGTGAAAGTGGATGGATGAGTTTGTTCTATTGACTAGGCCAAAACAAAATTTAACCAAACTTTATGACATACGAAACATGTTATATTTTACGTTTGATAGTAATAGGTAACTCTGATGGTCAAAAGTGATTGTAATCTCCTTGCATTACCAAAAAAGAAAAACCCCATGTATTAAAGATAAATGATCTTACATCAACAAAATTTAAAGTCCTAAAAATAAGCATAGCATTAACCGAGGGAGTCAATGCTCTCGCAGGGGAATGAAATCTTTTTTAGCTTTATAAAATAATGATGAAACATCTTTAAATTCATTATGTTAAATTTCTAAGTAACAATTCCATAAATAATAATATAACATTCCATAGGTTCCTTATTTCCCATTTGATATATGGGCGCAAATTATTATATGTTGGATCAAACCCACCCCACCCTAATATAGCTTTATATGGAATTCTATACTATAAGATTAGTTATATTATTTCAATGAGAGCACGATTGTTACTAGCCATTACATATCAATTTGGATGGCTTAAGATGTGCGAGAAATTTTGAGGAATTTTTTTTTTTTTTTTGAAACTTGAGCCTAATGAATAACACACTCGCAACCACCCAATTCGAAATCTGATGGACGAGAGTTGATTGCAACCTTGTTTTATTAAAAAAGAGAGTCTCTTTCGTATACTTTCCAAATCAAATACCCTTGCCATTCATTTTTCATTTGATTTTCTTTTCTATTTTTCCTTCTGTCGTTTTTGTTTGTGCTGTTAACCTAAGATTCCATGTTCTATTTTCTTTTGCATTCATAGAACATACCCAAGTTAGTAGATACTTGCTTTTGTGTGTGTGTGAGAGAGAAGTGCTATTATAATGTCACGGTGATTCACTAGAAAAATAAAGAAGTATATAAGTATCTAAGAATGCTGCATCCTCCTTTCAAAACCACATTCATTATGGCATTGAATTCAACATATTTAAACAATTTAATCAGAATACTTGCTGAAGAGTTCAAATATTCATGGATTCGAATATTCGTGACTATTTTGATTGGTTCCGTGATGAAGTATATGTACATGATTTATTTATTTATCAACAAATAATTTCTCATCATATTTTTAAGATGTGGCCATAAATATTATTGTAATGATTCTATGTAATCACAAGTATAATCTCCATTTTATGTGAAAAATAAAATTAATCTGTTCAAGGGCCTTCAAATGAGACTAACTCCACTACATTTTGTCTACATATCTTCTCGTCGGTTTGCATGTGAATTTGCATGTTCTCTCTAAAGCCATGAATGCAGAAAATAGGCTTTATATTCTCCAAGTAAAAATACACATCTAAAACCAATTATTATGCTTTAAGGAAGAAGTAATGTGACTTGGGCATATACATGTTGCAGAGTAAGCCATAGTTGCTATTAGAAAAGGTGTTATCCCTCATTCCTCATGCTTTCCTACCCATCTCATGCCCTCCATTTTGTATTTTTGAAAGGTATGTCATGCTCTCCAATTATGAAAGGTGTCTATCATAGCCTGAGTAGGTTTTCCATTGATAGACACTTTCCCATACATAAGCTCCCGCACAATTTCTTATGGTTGCGGCTTCTAGTAATGGGAAATTGCTTGATAGGCGGCCTGCAAGAACAACAACATTATCGGTACCTATAGAGGAAGAAATGAACCAGACATTATTTTTTTTATTTTGGAACTTAAAAAAGAACCAGACATGAAACCGTGGAAGACTGGAAGCAGAATAAATATATATTTCTCTGCCTATTAGAAATATATATTTCTTTGCCTGGAAGCAAGACAAATATATCAAGACAATATCCACATAAAAGTACAATGTGATCCAACTTAAGACAAGGGCAGAACAAGAAACCCTTGAACTTGTTTTTGAGAGTATCGTAACCTAGTCTTGTGTTAAAAAGAAATGATGTTCCGCTGAACAATCATAAAGGATGTCACTGTTTTGCTACTATGATTATTACTCCCAGATAATCTTGATTGTACGGTTATAAACCCATACCTTGATTGTAGCTAGCAACATGTTTCTCACGAGAAGTATCTCCTGGTCAGTTTCTACACAAAAACCTGGTTGTGTGGTTATTGCCGCCACTGCATTATATCAAATGACAGCTAATTAAGTTGCCGTTATGGAATAGAGCTTCAAGCAAAGATAATTAAAGCTTCTTACCACAGGAAGTTAACAATTAACCACAAAATATGTCAGAGGGGAAAATGCACAATGCTCAGTGATTATCGAATATGGTTCAGCATTGGCTTACTAGAATTAACTGATAAGGTCAACAAACTAACAAAGAGTTTAGAGATTCCTATAAATACAGTCATTAGACATTCCTTATTTTTTAATATTAACTTGGGACCTAGTGAGAATGAAACTCTGGATGCCATGTTGTGGAGCTCACCACCCTGACCACTTCTGCTTAGAGCATGTTCTCAACTATGAGACATTTCTTTTTAACTATATAGTCATTCCATGTTTTAAACAGGAAGTGCAAGATTCCATCAGTCCAATAAATTATTCAAAATTTTAAATGTTCTCATGAGCAAAGAGGAAATCCATTTTGATTTAAGTATAAAGAAGCGTATTGTGACCACTCTGCTCTAGAGCTTGTTCTCAGCTATTTTGATCATTCTGCATTAGAACCTGTTCTCAACCTGTTCTACTTAAATCCATTTTGATTTATGTATAAAGAAGCAGATTGTGACCACTCTATTTTAGAGCTAGTTCTCAACTATTAGACAGTTCTTTTGAACTATATAGTCATTTCATGTTTTAAACAGGAAGTGCAAGATTCCAATTAGACCAATAAATTATTCAAAATTTCAAATGTTCTACTGAGCAGAAAGGAGCCCCATTTGGTTTAGGTATAAAGAGGAAGATCTAATAGCAAATATGCCCTATTCATGTCAGTTTGGCTTGGTGAGAATGAGAGTATGGCAATATCGCGAAGTATTAAACGAAGCTAAATTGTTTTCCATAAAAAATACATCATTGATTATAATTGTGGAAAACATCAGAAGTCCTAATGCGAAAAAGTTAAAGATGGTGAAGCACATATTTCTTAATTACCCAGAACAAGAACAATGATCACTTGTAAAGGATATAGCCAATAAGATGCCGAGCAAGTTCCCGCATACTGCTTTCATGTGCATTATTCACTTCATCATGAGGTTTTTCATGCCTATCCATTGGCTGGCAGCTGCAATTCCACAAGATGTGGTATAAACAAATTGGAACCATAACTATAAAAAGCAAAATGCCATTTTTAGGATTCTAGGAGTTGTTTAGAAAATAGTTAGATTGCTTATGGAAAAAGTGTTTTATTAAGTGAGAAATATTATTACGAATTTTGATTTAAGATATGACTATTTGTCAATCTTGTTTTGGTGAAGGGAGCCGAGGGAACACAACGACAAGGATCGTCGCACGTGAAAAGAAAAGCACCTAAGGCACACCAGAAGAGCAAGGAAGAGGAGTAGTTTTCGCGAGAGATCAAGCTGTTCATAGTTTTCGCGAGAGATCCTAGAGATGTAAAAGACGCAGGTGGAGGTTTAGATCACGTGACTTTGTAAAGAGGAAAAAAAAAAGAGAAAAAAAAACTTTTGTTCCCTAGCTAGGTTATTGGGGAGGAAATCTTAGTTCCCTTAAATTAGTGCTTGTGTTTTGCTTGGAAACTTTTAATTTGTTTTTTTTCATAAATATCCATATCAATTGGCATCAGAACACATGATTCTTGAGTAGCATGGGTTGAAATCTTCGGTCCAGTCTAGAGTTCGATAATTTCATTCAACCTATGTTTACTAATTTCAGCCTAGAACTTGCCGAATTCAGCTTAGAGTTTGCTAATTTTTGTCCATAGGATTTGTGATTTCGGTGAACCTATGACAGAAAGAAGGGATTGTGGAAGGAGAGCACCCGTAGACGTACCCTAAGATGCCAACAATGAAGAGATTAAGGATCTCAGGAGGCAAGTTCAGCAAGTTGCACAACAGCTCATGGCTGTCAATCACGGGTAAGACGAAGAACTTTCCGCAAAGAAGATGTAAAGTACAAGCCCATGTTCTGCATGAGGAGTCGAGTGAAGAGGAAAGTGATAGAAGACCTAGACGTGGGGGACATTACTTTAGGGTTTTCAAATTGAAGGTGGACATTCATGATTTTAACGCACATTGTCTCCAAAATCAATGGTCTGTATATTGGGATTCTCAACCAATCTTTGAGCTTGCTCAGTTGAAGAACAATATCTTGTAGAAAATTTAATATACGACAATGAACAATATTTCGTGGTTGAGCCGATCTTTGGCAAAGAAAACTATGAAGTCTTAAGGAGAATCAATAGATGAAGTTGTTGGTTGGACGATTGAATCCAGCCGTCATCTCAAAGATGACCACGCGGTATGTTCTAGGGTTGAACTTAAACCATTTCAACAAGTTTATATGGCTGGACAGACTCCATCAACATACAATGACACTCTCCTCGAATTGTTCTCAAATTACGCTAGTCTATTGATTTCGAAGCCCTAATCTCAATGAATAATCTCAAAGCATAATATTGAGTTTGAAGAAGGTTTTGGAACTAATGCGAAACCTACTTCAAAACTTGAAGATGAGTTTTCTCCAATTAGGGGAGTCTGATGTAGGATCAAATTATTCTAATTTTCATTTTATGTTTAATTTTCAAGGATGTATATTTTAATTTGTTTCTAGGGTTATTTTCAGCGTTTTTAAGTTTTTTAAGGATTCTAGGGTTTTCTATATTTTTTGGATTTTAGGAGTTGTTTAAAAAGTAGTTAGAGAGTGCTTATGGAACATTTTGTCTTATCAAGTGTAGAGTTTGTAGACATGTTATTATGAATTTTATTTTAAGTTAGAACTATTTAGTCAATCTAATTTTGGCGACACTATGGGCTTTTCATATTCCATTTAAGATATAAAAAAAGGTGCATGGAGGGTTAGGAACCTATTCACATGACTTTTAAAAGGAGGAAAAAGGAAAATGAAGCTTTTTGTTCCCTAGTTAGGGTTTTGGGGAGGAAACCTTGGTTTCCTTCAAAATTGTTGCTTGTGCTTTACTTGGAATATGTTTAATTTTCTGGTTCTACATCACAATGTATTAAACATATAATGCTCATTGGACCAACATTATAAATCAGGAATCTTCTTCCCTAAATAACAGGAAAATTGAGATAAATTTGGAATCAATTTATCTTTTTCAGTAGCACCTAACATATATAGGACAGAAAGAGACACAAGCTTATATTGCAGCAACTTGTGTGATTTATTCATTTCATGTGGCTTCTATTGAAAAGGAAAGAGACATTAACCAACAAGTCAGTGACAGATAGATCCGTCGTAACTCCCACTTACGAAATACTGTTCATGAAATGGATGCCATGCGAAAGCTAGCAAAATAAATATGCCAACATGATCAGATGTAATTATTTAATTTAAGAATACATTATCAGATATGGTCTTCCTATATTGATACCTAACGCAGATAAAATGATCAGAGCTTACATGAAATTGTTAGTGTTTCCCATTCATTCATTGATTACATTGAAAATAAGACAAGTTTGTGGTGAACTCGCATCGAAGCATCTAAGAAGGATCCAACCATGGGCTGAAATTTAGCCCCTGAGACGAAGTCAATACGGTGCTTGTGGTGAAAAACGAATTGAGAGAAACGTAAATATTATCAATGATAACATCAACAATAGAGTTGTAGATATCATATCAGATACTAATAAATTCTTGTACAAATCACAAACTTGAAACTCATCCCTGATCGGGTTAAATACAGGCACCATTAAACAGAATAAATAGATGTACATAAATATTTAGGCAGAAGAAGCCATAGACTGGAGTTCAAAGCATGGGAAGATATAATAAAAAAAAAGAAGCAACTACCACGCATACCAATTGAGTCCACAATTAGCACACAACCAAATGAATTTGTTACTTGTCAGTTGTTACAAAGTAAAACCAAGTAACCTGTAAGCAAACAATAAAAAAAGAGTCCACCAGAAGGATTACAAGTGCTTAAAAGTGCAAAAGTATAATGGCCATTGGGGATGCTTCTATTATGTATAAATAATAAATTAGAAACGAATAAGATACAAATAAATTACCAACCAGTTACATCCTTGCGATGTCCACGATAAGATTCAAGCTCCTTCCCAGCATCATAGAACTGAAAATATGATAAAGGTTTAAATGGTGAGTATGGTCGAGATAGTAACATTGGAGAATTAAGTTAATGGACTATTATACCTTGTTAAGGAAAAAGAATTGTCTGACAAACAATTATGCATGCATCAACAAGCCTTTAAAAAATAATGCATGCATCTCGGAGTCTACGAACATCGATGTGTGCTTGTATAGGTATACGTAGAATCAACACAATAGCATTTGGTGAACTCAAACAAAAGCATATTAATTTGCACTATGAGCCTTCATGCGGACATTCTCAAAAGATCCAAAAAAAAAAAATTAACTCATCCCAAAGATTTGCTGAAGTAACAAAAAAGCAAGAGATCCTCCCAGCAGGTATATTAAAAAAACCTCTCTTTACAGCAAAAGAATATCATCACCAAATGAAAGAAAATGCTATATAGGATCAAAATGCCCCTCATGATCATCCGGATATCCATGATTTGCTAACCTGCCCCCACATCATTAGCAGGGCCATGCGCAGAGACAACTATCCAGCAATCAACCACGAAATGTCCTTCCTACCATAAAATAATAATGCTAAATATAATGGGAGTATGGGAGACCATTAATCTCCCATCAAATGACATTGATAACATTCCCTTTATAAAAAGTAATCCTAAGAGGCCCCATACAAAAATGCATGACTGCATGGTCTTCATAGCCCCAGTCCTTGAGAAAGCAGTGACCCCAAAGTTGATCATCAGCACTATAATTTTATGGCCACTTTTATCCCTGAACACTCCCAGTTCCCATCCTTACTTCCTTAAACTAAAAGAAACATGATTTGTAGGAAACATATTGAGCACCAGTCTCAACACATAAGACCTATTAACCGAACTTAGTATAGTAATACTGAGATGGAAAGTGCAAACTATAATATGAGATCATGAAGCAATGGTTTCATCAAGAACAAGAAGATAAGCCCACAGCTAAAAGAGTAAGTCCATATATTGCCCATGGATGATTAATAAGTACATGTCTGCTTGCAACTAAAAGTTAAACGATCAAAAGCTAAATTTTTCTTTTTTTTTTTGTAGAGAGTCACAAACACGTACCTCAAGTCACGAACGTAATCTTTGTGTGCAGATTTATTAGCCTTCACATTATTCATGTCAGAAAACTTAGAAGTAAGAACTATACAGAGACAGAGCATCTCTTCAAAAAAACAAGGAACAAAGGGGAGAAAGAGAGAGATCACCCATCAACAACCAGTATGCATTAATACACAGAAAAAAAAATAGAAATAAGGAACCCATCAAAACAAAAAAAAATAGCAAACAGAGAGAGAGCGATATATATATATATATATATAGAGAGAGAGAGAGAGAGAGAGAGAGAGAGAGAAT